GTCTCAATGCAGCAGCTCTGGGGGGTGATGGGCGGGAGAAGTGGTAGCTGGGGTGAGGGATAGATAGATAGTATAGCCAATAGGTTAGTTAGTCATTAAGGATGTTAGTGACCATTGAAGATTTTGTCTCGTGTAGGATAATACTATTTCTCAATGAATTTTAACTTCAAGGTGATCGTTCGATAGCCTAGAGATGACTCTTTCATTCTACGCAAAGCCGAACTTTCTATCATTTATCGTTTAAAACTTATCGTCAATATACTGAATGTTAGTAACGTGTAAAAATATACTTTTTTCGAGGAAAAACAGNAACAATATCTCTCTATAAAGTGCATCGGCTAAGAGGCTAATATTTGAGCGCAAGCAGGAAGGAAGAAATGAGATAATTGTTGTGTATAGAAAGAGGGAGAAGATGAGAGATGAAGAGAGAATCGGGGAAGAGGAAAGAAACGTATAGCAAGGTCATCATCAGTGCTTAAGGAAAAAGAAGAAGTGTACAATCATAGATTGTCACACTTTCTTTCATTTCTGTATGAAATAAAATGATTTTCTCAGCAGTTATCTCTCTTTTCTTACCATGTTTTATATCAATTTTATCAATTTCATTCATTTTTCAATGTTTGATATGCTTTGATACCTCCCCTACACGTAATCAATCGTAATTATTTACTGACCCCTCCTCCCCCTCTAGCTGATTACGTAATACTTGAATGGTCCCTAAAGAATTCGTTCCATAAGAATGCTTGTAAACAAATAATCCTTCACATTTATTACAAATAACATATTCTTGCTTCGCATCGTTCACATGGATGCAACTAAAACTATTCCATACAGCTGAGGACTTTGACGTTATCGTCGGTTTCACGATTTTCAATGATAAATTTTCATTATCAATCAATTCTTTAATCTCTTCTTTGGTTAGCATAATGTTTATAAGATTAAAATTAAAACAAAAAAATTATTGTGCTTTTGCAAGCATCGAATCGATTAGTACAGCAATAGTGGTACAACACAGTAAGAATAAATATGGACGACCAGATCACAAGTAATGGTGTACATTGTAAAGATTTTTCTACTGGTAACCAATTAAAACTAGTCACGAATTTGCTTCTTTACATTTCCTTATACACAGACGGTGCTATATATTGGTAAAAGTAATCCGGGCCCGGGTCTAGATTGTACCGGGTCCAAAAAAAGGTGGACCCGCTACTCCCTAGCTCCTGATCAGTGGCAAAAAAAAATTGTTTCGATTTTTACCAATCTAAAATGACCACAGTAGTCAGAATTTGATGCTGATTCCGAATATAAATGTCTCGTAGTTCAGTTTTTTGGTTCGATACAAACAGCTTACTGGTACCCCAACTTTGTGGGAATCTCTGCCGAAAGATAAACTTCTGACTTCTACGAGTAGCAATAACTGTTGGTATCCGAGACGACAATATTTCATCACTTCATGTGCGACATGGTTAAAATTTCTGTAGAAGAGTAAACTTCTGACTTCTGCGAGTAGCAATAACTGTTGGTATCCGAGACGACAATATTTCATCATTTGATGGGAAAATGTTTAGAGAAAGAAGTTGAAGAAGGTCATTTTGCGAGAGAAAGGTGAAGTTGAAAAGTAATGAATTGCGTTGTCGGGTAAGTTTCTGGTATCATGTGGGAAAAATTTAAGGTAGTAAATTTCTGATGAAGAGCAGAAAGCAGAAGTAGCCAGAGATGGCCAAGTCATTGACTTTTTGATCCAAATAAAGTCGAGTCGAGTCACACCGAACAATCTTCAAATCCAAGTTACAATTCAAGTCAAGTCTTGATTTGAGATAAATTAAACCAAATCGAAGACAAGTTCAGTCATTTATGCTCTTGGAATATATTAAAGTGACTTTAAACTAACTGAGACTAGTATTTTGTTTTATTTAATCAGACTTCGTTTATTTATGAGGAGATTTATAATAGAGTGTTTTCATTCTGTAGAGAAAAGGAGTAAGTATTCTACACGATCACACGCGAGAAAAAGATCAACTGAAGAAAAAACAACTATGCTAAATAATAAGACAGTGTAACCGCTAGATTTCATTGTTAGATGTAACTAATGTTCATATTTTAATTAACTACGCTTTACCGGAAAATCAGATAATCAGTAACAACTGAAAAAGCTGTCTGATAAGTTTTGAAAATTTTACATTTTCAGCGGCAATTTATTCGCACAGGACATCCTTCATTTCTAGTTTGGAATTTTTCAATATAAAGTGATTTTGAAGCAACAGATTAGGTGCATAAAACATCTGCATCTACGTACATGCAGTTTTGGACTGGACTTGATTTGCCCATCTCTGGAAGTAGCATTTCTTTCAAAATTGGGAGTAGCTGCCTAATTCGACTTGTAGCGTAAGTGCTCAATTCCTATAGCCGTCTAATCCTTTCCTAGGAATAGATTTCGTTTAACTTATACCCCCACACCCTCTTGCACATATCCCTTCCTTGAGGGTGCCACGAAGGGTGTGAGCGGGTGGGTGCCGGACAATAGGTGAAACCAAATCTATTCCTAAATCTATTTCTGTTAGTATGCATTTATATTCGAATAGATATTAGTCTGTTGGGGGTCCATTTATAATATAAGTCGAATTAGGCAACTCATGAAAATTGGTTTCAATTTGAGATTTGCCATTACCTCGTTTGGGGTAATCTATAAACGTTCACTTTCAATGGATTGGATTCTGATTCATATTTAATGACAATTAATGTTGTGTACGCTGATGATCGTTGCTTTCTGTCAAAGTGAAAAATGATTCGTTTGGATTCTTTTACGTATATTAAACGACAAGGTAGAACGAAAAAAATGCTCTACTTCACAGACGCAAATGTTTTCGGTATGAATCAATCTTGTTTATTCGAATGAAACAAATGTTACCTGTTTAGTATGGAGTGTGGGAAAAAAACGAACAATTTGATGGCAAAATGATAAATTCTGTAAGAAACGCTCCTAATAGTCTAAATCCTTTATGATAAAGAATTCAATTGTGCAAGAATGTTGACTATAAGAATGTTTTTCGCAGTTCGACTTACATTTATATAGTGAGCCTTTTGGTTCGTATTTTTCATTTGTCTTCTCATATAATTGGAAATAATTTCTTTTTCTTCTAGATTTATATTTTCACTTTCACTGTTTTGCTAAGATTGTCTATTCGACTAATAAGAATGATGATATTCATTGTGTTACTCGGTTGTGTAGCATCGATCGTTGCTACGACGTGTCCCTCTGGTATGGCGATTGCTTCTAATGTAGCGACTAAAACAATTCCAGCTACACTTCCACAATTTCTGAGCATTGTTGGTAGTTTCTTAAATAGTTCATGGTACAGCACACTTGGCCCAATATCATTCGGAGCAGACAATCAAGTTGGAACTATTCGTACAACAGTAGATTTTACTAATAATAGTCGTTTATATAATGAGACTTTGATGATTTACAATTTAAATTCAACTTATTTTGAGCAAATATGGAAAGGACCGGGTAATGAAGGTGTATTTATTCCTCTTGGTGATTTTAATCTTGGCTCCTATGTCGAATATCTGAATGGACAAAGTACGTGTGGTGGTTCAGCCGTAATTGTTAACTTTGGTAGTGACTCTTGTGTTACAAATGTGACTTTGGCTGTACCGGCATTGACTGCTAATCATATGTGGGGCATTGAACAAGTGCAGAGTTTACTCAAAATAGGCAACTTTACAAAGTGTAGTGCAGTTGCAAATTCGATGAAATTCAACAGTTTATTCATATACATTTCATTCGGTATTATATTCAAATTTTACGTACGAATTTGAATGAATATATTGCATAGAAGGACAAAAGAAGTTTTCTCTCATTTTAATTAAAATAAAAACAAAATATCATTTTGAACGATGATTAACAATGTAATTTCAATTAAAATTCAATGTTTTCTCTATAAGATGACGCAGAAATATAAATAAAAAACTTTCTTGTTTTTCTTACAAAAACAAAAAATCGATTTCATGGTAAAGTAATGAAAGACAGGTAAATATTAATGTGAAGCTAGCACGATGAGACAATGTGTTAGCTTAAAACTTTTTTCCTAAGTAAGTCTCGTTCATAAAAACCAGTCCACCGGATTGAGAATTTAATTCTACATCGAATGGTGCCAGTTTTATTCACGGAAGAAGCGTTGGAAATTTTTTATTTAGAGTTCTGTCTCCTATATAGGAAAACAATTAGGATGCAAGTAAAAAATTGCCAAAGTGTCTCTCGTGAATAAAACTAGCACCGTTCGATGCAGAATTATGCTATAAATCGAATAAACTAGTTTTTATAAGCGGAACTTAGTAAAAAAAAGTTTTAGTTAACACATTGTCTCATCGTGTTAGCTTCACACCGATCAGGTAAATGCATTCATCTGTGAAAATATGTCATTCGAACGATTTTTCATGTTCGTCACATGAAAATATTCATCAAATATATCTTAAAATCATCTTTTTAGTTAACTTTTCTTTTCTTCGCCGATGAACAATAAATAGGTCACACAAAATAACGCAAATTAATCAGAAAGAAAAATAGTCACATTTGTTATTGATTATTCAGCATTTTTTTACGCGCATGTTGTCAAAGTCGAACAACGAAGGACTGTCGACAACATATTTCTCTCAGAGGAATTGAAACAATCTCGAAATGAACAACGAAGAAATTTGGCAAATGTTTTAACAGAACTAAAAAAGAAAAAATCGAAAGAAATGTTTGTTTTACTTACGTTTTGGTTTTCAAGATCGATTTTGTTTTTCTTCTTCTTAAGTTATTTTTGATTAATAACAAACCGAATATTTCTCTTTGGAATATTTACAATTTTAGTCATGCTCATTTGTGTACAGCCGACTCGACATTAGTAGCGACCATCGCCCAGTACGATTCACACTAAACATCGAAATAAAAAAACAAAGACCACAAATGATGAAATCCAGACAAACCATAAATGAAGACCTTCTACAAAGAAACATTGCCGAAAATGATTGGAAGACANTTATGTATTTTACACTCGAAATAATTTCAAAATGCTTAAAAATATGTACGTAACAAACACATAATGAAATCATGATGATATGAGTTGGAAATTAATGCATTCCGTATATGAAGGCTTAAAAAAGGTAGATTTTCATGTTTTAGCTGACATTGACTATTATGAATATTAGCGAGGAATGGAAGTATGTGGGATAAAACTTGAGAGAATGTGCTACAAAGCTATACAAAGCTCGGCTGAATCGTTCGAATAACTGAATAGCTAATCAAGTTTTATTTTTCGGCGGACTTTTGGGACACCCTGTATATTAGCAACAGAGTTAAATTTTGGTAGATCAACAGTGAATTATTTTTTATTTGCAATAATAGACATTTTATATTCATCTGTTTATCCAAAGTTGATTCTATTGCCTGATGATATGAATGGTGAAGATGCAGCGTATTGACCAGAAGAATATTACAAATTAATTGTTGATTCCACTTGTATTGCAATTAGGCATGTCGCAATACCAATACTCGGTATTGAAAATTGGTATTGACTCTTGGTTTTGAGGAGGTATTGATGACATTGAAGGCATTGGTATTGATTAGTATTGATCAATACCTTGTCAATTTCTACACTCATTCTCAATTTTACCAAGTGCCACATATAGAATTGATCATATATGGAGCGACGCTATCCACGGCACTCGACATAATTGAAAATGGTTGTAGAAATTGGCAAAGTATTGATCAATACTAATCAATACCAATACCTTCAATACCGTCAACATCTGCCCAATATCAATACCCAATTCCCAAGAGTATTGGTATTGCGACATGTCTAATTGCAATTAATCAACCAGAAGATACTGAACAACGTAAGATGTATTATTACGCAAAAAGTCCAACAAACTATGCATTTAAAATCCAGATAACTGGCGGTTTTAATCATCGAATAGTTCATGCGTCTAGATGTTATCCGGGTAGTGTACATGATCTTACTATCTTAAGGGAATCAGAATTATTATATTATACAGAAGAAAATGTACAAATCATCGACGATAAGGCCTATATCGGTGAACAATATGTTATTACTCCACGAAAGAAACCTCGAGGTGGTCAATTAGCTGCTGAAGATAAAGATTTTAATCGATCTATTTCCAGTGAAAGAGCAGTGATTGAAAACTAGTAACGCTCATCGAGGCAGACTCGCTATACCATCGACTGAACCACTGACTGAAAATACAATAGTCTTATATGCATTTTATGCAAAAAAAAGACAGAAGTATAACCTTTGAAGGGGTGCCCAGAAACTGATCTTCATTCGCCTCACAGTCTTCAAAAGAACCAAAAGACTACTTGTGTTCCTTTTAATTATTCGATATTNTTCAAAATTAATTTCTATCAATAGAAATTTGATATATTTTGGTATCATGTGAAAGCAAGTTAGACTATGAATTTATAGATATATTCGAAAATTTTAACTTCTGATTTTGGCAAGGCCTGAGCGTGAGTGCTGTCAGGAATGGAAGATTATATTCTCGTCATATCCCAATCATAATTCGATTTTTTTGTGGGAAAGTGAAAATGCTAGTCAACTGAAACTCTTCGAATGAATGATAACTTGATTTAGAAGATTTAAATTTTCCACTAGTGTTATCTTTGGATACAAAAATCGAATTATTATCTGATATAGTGGGATATCTTACAATTTTCTACCGTACAACAAGGGCTGTACTAGTCGAAGTAGATGCCAAGAATAAGATGTGGCGCAAAACTTAAGATAGACGTAAGTGAATTTTATTTAGGATAAAGTTAAAATTAAGAACAGAAGTAGGCAGTGCAGAATAAGCTCAGGTATAGTCAGTTAAGGATAAGGTTAAGATTAGGATTAGAAATAGGTAGTTATAGATAAGCTCACGGATAAAAGTGGCGCGCAAAAGACAAGAATAAGTAGTTGAATAGGGAACCAATAGATAGTGGAAGGTAGAGCAACTAAAATGAACTGTTCTCTGGAAGACTAGAACCATTTTTTGGGAAAATAGAAAAAAGTTTTGGATAAAACCAGATTGGGCTTGAACCTTAGAGGGTTCTGAAAGTGGTACCGAAATCTAGAACCTTATATGGTTCGGTATGACGCCTTTTTTTACAGAGTAAAAAGTATCGAAAACTGATTAGTATTTCATCAGCATCTCATGGATGAGATTATCCTCGTCCGAACATTTGAGGTTATCTCCTTAATTAAAAAGCTTAAAGGCCTACAAAAACTCTCAATATATCGAAGCTCAGCATTTCAGATTGCTCTCCAGTATGTACCTTGTGAATGAATGTATTTTTGGATTACTGGCCTTTGGCATGCGACAGTCAACCGAGTGTGTTTTTACTTTTTCGTAATCAACTCTTCTATGTAGCCCTCCGCTCAGGCGCGGATGAAATGTTTTCTTCATTTCTGTCACATCCCTGTCCCTTCACCCCTTCTCCAGCCAACCTCGAGCCTCAGTATCCCTCCAAAATCATGTTTTATGAAGTTGTGAGCCTTTTTTAAGAAAATATTTTTTTGACCTTTGACCCTGACACAAACAAACTTTTTATCATATGATCCTCCTTTCAGTCGAGGAAACATAGAAAATGACGTACCGTATGTGAAATTCAATAAGATCAGTCTGATTCCTACCAGAAAACATGTTTCTAGAATTGTTTGATATTTATGAATACTAGACAACTCCGAAAAAAGAGCTTTTGATGAAGTTCCGGACGTTTTTCTGCCATTTTTTCTATGTATAAAAAAACGCTATAGGTGTACGTAAAAAACGTTAAAAAACTCGAGGTTTTCCGCAGATAGGACCAAATTTTTTTAACCAAAAATGTTTTCTAACAGAGATCGAATGTTTGAGCCGAAAAAAATCGAAAGAAAAAACCTTTCCAAAAAGTGGATGGGTCCTCATGGATTGACCCATAAGTTTTTTTGTTTTAGAGTTCTTTTATTGCTATTGTATTGCATTATCACGATATCGTAAAAACGTTTTAGACATTTTATGTCGATGAACAAATCAAATTATACCATTGGACGATGATATGAATATATGTACTCAAGATACAACAAATACTAAATATAACTATTGGGATGCGAATGAGAATGTTCTTTGATTACACTTACACTCTCAAGATTTGAAATTCTATAATAAAACTTTGGAATGCGTATTTTATTCAAATAAAAAATACATGTCTCTTTCGTGATTACAATTATCAATGTACGACACTTTACTCATAACTCGGGCCTCATTGTCAATTAAGCGTTAACTGCCACATAAACCGACGATGACTGTCATCTTCCATATCTTGTAAACGTCGTTGGAAATGAGCATTTTCTTCGCGTGTACGTCGACGTTCTTCTTCGGCACGTTCTTCTATCTTTTTTTCTATTTGTTGCAACCGATTGTAATAATTCTCCTGCTCTTTTTTCGCCTGCTGGTCAACTAATTCAGCGTCAGATTTCGTCCAACCTGTCAATGGATCACGCCAATCAGGGTTGCGTTCGCCATTTTTTTTGGTCAATCCCAAAATTCTTCGAGCTAATGACAGTCGATTGATAGAAATGGAAAAAGGATTTTGTATATATTTCATTTTATGTTCTGCATGTTTCGTTTTAAAGCAATTTTCACAAAGATTAAAACTCGATTGACATTGTGAACATTGATAACGGTTTCCATTGAAGTGTTCCATTGAACAACCATTACATTTAACATCTAAATGGTAAAAATCATGTATTTGCTTAGTCCAATAGCTGAGAGGCTCCTGCGAAAACGTATGTGGTGAAGGATGAAGTATCTTCATTAGTGGCATACATTGAGCACAGACACCAAAACCTGCTGGGCATTGTTGGCATTGAAAACTGGGTTCTTTGTCCATGATGACTATACGATAACAGTGAGAACAACAACCTAGTGAATGATAGAGATAATCTTCACTACTAAATATTGATGATGACTTTAAAGATTTCTACAATTAATAATAAACATAAAATCATGAAAAAGATTGTATTTGTTACTTTAAGACGGCCTACTTTGCTTTGATTTTCTTGTTCATCAGTAGCAAGTTTTGGTGATGTACTACCAGCGGTACTAGTTACTGATTGAACTTGTGATGAGACTATTTTATTAAGTGTATGAGAATTAGCACTTGTTCGATTATGCTCCTTTGTCTGACAAGATTCACAAACAAAATGATTAACGCATTGACGACATTTGTAAATATTCGACGAAGATGGAATTGATTCACCACAAGAAGTACATATAGCTTTCATCTTTACTTTTCACGGAAAAATATCGTGTATAATTGAATAAGATTTCTGACTTTTATATTATGTTATATTGGTAAAAACCAAGTTTGCTGTGTGCATTCTAGCGAAACATCAATATGACGCATATCTATTTCTTCTTTTTGCCTATGAAGATGAAGTCATGTGCTTAGATACTTCCTAGTTATTAATTACTTATATACGTAAGTCACAGATAAAATCTTTTTTTTATGAAGTATGCCGAATATACTCAATAAACATGTGCGCAATTGAATCGATTTAAATGATAGTATTTGAATAAACTATTGAAATGGATGTGAAAACTCTGCGAAAAATAAAGATCTTTGACAAAATAATTCAGAAACGTAGCTGATGAAAGTAACAGTCAGATGTATTACACATATATTCACATCTTTGTTTATCGTTTCATTTTTTTTCAGAAGATATAAATGTTACGATTTTATAAACAAAAAACTTCATCATAGAAAATGAAAATAATCGATTCCGGTTATCTTTGTCTGTTAAAGGATTATGAAATTACTATCGTTACATACAAAGTTTTATCGTATTTATAATCAATCGAACAAGAGATGAGCGAAGAACATTATTATCGATTGCAATAATTCATACGGGTAATAAATCATACGTTTCTTTATAAATGTTTGCAAATTATCGACTTATGAGCTGCAATTATCATAAGCTTTACATTCATTTAAGAGACGGTCCACCAGTCACTCGAGAATCGCTATACTCTCGAAATGTTTGACCCCCCTTTTTTATGACCTTAAATGAAAGATTATCATCCAAAACCTCAAAATCCAAATGTTTAGCTTATTTGGATGTACCTTCAAAAAGTTATTCAGTGGACACTGCTACACTAGTTCAAAATGGGTAGAGTATTTTAAGAAACGTGTGTTTTTTCGAAATCTTTCTTGTACCAAAAAGGTTCAATTATATGTCATCTTGTAGAGCAAAATTCGCTCTACAAAAATGTTCTCAGGAAAACAATTTTAAGGGGAAAACTGTTAGAAATGCGTAATTATTTTTCCGGCTATGTTGCCACGAGAGCTCTATATCTCTACCGTTTACGGGGCACCCAGAATGAACTTTATATATTTAGATAGAGCAAGTGAAAAGCTATCGAATGCATAAAAAATTTTTTAATTAAAGTTGCACGAAGTCTTCATTTACGCAATACAGTAAATTTTGCTATTGCATAAAAAATAGTCTTTTTGTCGTTTTACATGCACTTTCTTACATGTTTTTCTAATAGAAACGTTTCTCAAAGCAGAAATTTGATTATAACTGACTCATCGATGAAGAAGGTTCATCCTAATGGTCGTAATTTAAAAGCCTTTCACGCAATCTGTGTCTGGTAAGCGATGGTCATATAGACGAGATATTGAATGTGTATAATATCTAGAATAAGATTATCAGTTGTAACAATAATAAATTGCTAATCCAATAGCACTTCATCTACCACAAAATAAAGCATCACATGTCATCTTTTTCTTCGAGACATACTCATCAAGACAAACAAAACTATTCAATTTTTGATCGTTGAAAGTAAACATAGACTTCAAGTTTTAATTCTTCTCGTTTGTGTTCATTTTCCACTTGTAATCTTAGATTCTAACTAAGTATTGTCGAGTATGATGTCCAAATCATCTTAATAAATGATATATTAATTCAGTATATACAAACTTGAGTAGCTGAAGGAAATCGTCGAATACGATCTATGTCTTTGAATTAACGAAGTCGTTTAAAGGACATCTCCTATCGTTTTATTTGATGCAAATGAAATTTTTAACATACGAAGAAGACTCAAGATAACCAAGGATGTATTGAAGGAAATCTCGTTCGTAAGCATTTTTGCCAGATCTTCCATTTTCATGTTGTCTGATCTTGGCAATGTGATTCGCTGCTAGTTCGTTCCATCGCTTTGAAGCTGTTGTATAGATGTACAGAGACATATTAGAACGTTTCAAACTTTTATAAAAATTTCGTTAATGTTGTTTTTAGCTTAAAAAGTACATAAAAAAGCCCTACAAGTCAGGCAGCAAGGACTTTGAGAAGACTATGTGTTTGAATGAAACAAACAAAATGAAAATATACTGAAAGCGGAAGCTCATATCCAACTCTGAGTGTTATGTATTCTTCGAGAGTCATGCTGACTACAGATCGATTCCGGTCAATCTGTCAGATGTTGTACATCATTGAAACCACTAAAGAATTTGCCTTTGTGTTCTGCGGATGTACTCTTTTTGGCCCTGAAGGCCTTTCAAGGCTGTTCCATAGACTTCACCTACTTGTATGAATAATGTCCGATTACGTAGAGTTCCGATATGAATAATACTTGCGAATTTACCTAGGTCAAAACGTGTCCATCGGATCCGGTTGTTCCGTGTATTTCTGACAAGAAGCAGTCGAAAATTCGCCGGAATGCGACGCCTGAATGCATCAGAACTCTTACATAATTGATCTATATTCTATCGGATGCTGATAAAATTCTAATCGGAATCCGGTGATTAGGATTGATCAACCTGCGTATTACTGCTTTCAGAGTACACATTTTTTAACTTTTCACGTCATTCTGATTACTTGGTATAAGGCAAAACTTATTATCTAAAGCACAGCAATACCTTCGCAAGAACATGCCGATATTTGAATTCGGCTGTCATATTGATCGGACCATCTTATTAAAAAAATCTAATCAACGTGTACTAAGACCTTTAGTAACGTTGACTAATGCAAAGACCTACTGGATAGGTTTTACTGGGTGCTCCTTCTGATCCTTCCTTACGATTCTAACATCTTAATGACCACTGTTTAGGGTTAAACAATCATGGTGGAAAGTTTAGTAATAATAACAATTACAGAAACTCATAACCAATAGAGAGGTCATATGGGCCAAGCTCAATTAGGAACTCTCTCTTGACACTTCCTCAAGACTTTAGCCACATATATACCCTTCTACGGTATTAAGCAGCCGTCATGAATACTTTCAGAGTGGTGAGTATTATAGGATCTATTTCCATCGTGAGCTGACAGGCAAACCGACATTCTAATTTACTACATATGTGGAGTACATGTGTATTTTTCTTTAAGCTACCAATGACATAACCGATTGGCTTCATCTTCGAACCCGACTGCAATATTGTTAAGACAATAGTGTGTACAAAATTTGAGGCCAATTCCGTTAGTCTTTCAGGTGTTACCACGTAAACGGACAACCGGATGAACGGACAGACTGATCGATACTACTGCGTATTCATTCTACGAGTCCATCAAAGTCGTAAAAAGTTCAATCGACATTATTGCAATGTTTGTACTTCATTTTTAAATATATTCTCAAAAGTCCCTCTGGAAAAACAGTATTTTTCACTATTCATGGTGTTAATACACTGTAGGTACGCACTTGGGGCGAAAATGGTCATTATTTTCTCATCGGTCTTACTCCCTATCTATCCCACGCTGGCACTATCAATCAAATTTCTGCTTTGAGAAACGTTTCTATTAGAAAAACATGTAAGAAAGTGCATGTAAAACGACAAAAAGACTATTTTTTATGCAATAGCAAGATTTACTGTATTGCGTA